CTAGTCCTAAGTGTTCTAAGTCCTAGTCCTAAGTGTTCTAAGTCCTAAACTTCTTCAGCCAGAGAGTGGTGAATCTAAGGAACTCACTGCCACAGGAGGCTGTGGAGGTCAGGTCATTGAGTATATTTAAGATGGAGGTAGTTAGGTTCTTGATTGTCAAGGGGATCAAGGGTTACGGGGAGAAAGTGGAGAATGGGGTTGAGAAACATCAGCCATGATTGAATGGTGGAGCAGACTCAATGGGCTGAATGGCCTAATTTCTGCTCCTATGTCTTATGGTCCCTAAGCTTACAACATTTCTCGTCACCGAAGGCACCCGAAGCATCCTTACCTTTCATCCTCAAGAATATGCTGGTCCTGAACTCTGGTCAACTGGCCCTTAAAAGACTCATACATGTCAGATATGGATTTACATTCAAACTTAAATGAACATTTCTATCACTTTGTGGTCTCGCTTCCCCAACAGACCCCGCCCAACAACAGTTATTTAATCTTTCCTCATGTTTTATCAAGAGCTTGCAAATATTATATTCAACACTTATTGGGGATATGGCTCTGCTCATCAGACATCAGGACCCTTTAAAGCAAATACAAAGCATTAAAGCTTACCAGTCTGTCAAGACTTGTGCCAGCTGCTGTTGTAGGACGTTCTTCAGGACGATAGGGTCTGAATCGAGCATTAAATCCATCAGCCACCGATCGACCTGAGCGACTTGCTGACCAAGTCTTCGGTTTGCCACAGCCTTGAAATGCCTAGAGGGAAATAAAATTGACAACCCATCAGACACGCCATACTTTTATAAAATGTATTAAATTGGCTTGTCCATTTTTGGAATGCGTTTCTAAATGTTTAAAATGAAGCTTAACCTCCATACATAGAGAAGACTGTGATTTTCCACTTTGGACACCGGAGTGGGGACAAGGTTAACAGCCTATTCTATTTGTGTTTTTGATTTCCAGCACTCATAGTTCCTTGTTTTTATTTAAGTGTTTAATATTCTACAAATCAGAATCAAATCCCATCACGGCAGATGATGAAATGTGAATTCAATAAAATCTGGAATTAAAACTAGGTCGATTGATGACTATGTAACCAGCTGATTCACCAATGCCTTTTAGGGAGGGAAATCTGCCATCCTTACCCGGTACGTCCTCCATGTGACTTCAAATCCATCTCAAAGTGGTAGTGTCTTAACTGCCCTCTGAAATGGTCTAGCAAGCCACCAATTCAAAAGCAATTAGGGATGGGCAGAACATTCTGGCCCAGTTAACAACACCCATCCCATGAATGAATAATAGTTCCGATTTGAGCGGGTTATCATTCATTTAAAAACTTAAAGAACTGCAGATGCTGTGAATCAGGAACAAAAACAAAGTTGCTGGAAAAGCTCAGTAGGTCTGGCAGCATCTGTGAAGGAAAAAACAGAATTAACGTTTTGGGGCTGGTGACCCTTCCTCAGAACTCATTTACTTAGCATTTATCATTTGTTTAGTTGTTTTCAAAAGTTTAGACATCAGGAAACCCCTAGCCCTGCAGTTTGCCATTAAGGTACACAAGAGACTCCCTGAATTCTTCTGGGATAAATAACTCAGTAAATCTCTGCTGAGGAACTGAATTTCCTGCTTTGGGTGGGTGCTGAGTGTGCCTTTGATACATCTTAAATCAAACCATCTGCGAGATGGCATACAGTATCGTAATTCTCTAGCAAGTTGGATGGCCTCAACTATGGTACAGTCATCTTGATATTGGGGAGACAGATTGCAGACTGGGAACTTTTGCTTTGCCGAACACCTATGCTCTGTCATAAATATGACCAAGTTTCCAGTTGCCTGCCACTTCAACACAGAGCTATGTTCCATGGCTGACGTTCCTGTTTTAGGCCTGCTGCAGTGCTCCAGCAAGACTCAATGCAAGCTAGAAGAGTGAAAACTTATCTTCCACTTCAGGATACTACAGCCTTCAGTTTGAGCCTAATAATTTTACAGCCCGAGTACCTTCTTTCTTGTCTATTACCTGCCCCACACCAAGTCCTGTCATGACATGGGTTGCTTTCAGCACGCCCACCCATTTTCACTCACTCACAGGCCACATAACCTTTCCTTCTCTCTCTCTCAGCTCCCTCTTCACAAATCCACTCACTCCTCCACCGCCTCCTACACACTCCCCACCCCTCCCATCAGGGTCTGGACTTTAAATACTAACTCGGTTTTCTCTTCACAGATGCTGCCAAAAGTACTGAGTTTCTCCAGCAATTTCTGTTTTTGATGGTACAGAGCTCCTTTTTGTGGACCTGAGTGGTCTCCATAACGTTTTGTGAAAGTTATCCAGTTTTTTTTTTTTTAAATCAGAAACTGATCAGAACATGGTTACCTCATATCAAAGCTCTTCCCCATCCAAAACAGTAGCTGCTGTAAGAGATTTACTGTTCTTTGATTGTTCACTGAACCTGTTTCACATTCATGTTGCTGCATCCGAGTTGAAGCCATTTTTGGATGGCAGAAGAGCAAACCAAATGACAGCACAATAACTTGCACATTGTGTCTCCAGATGTTCGGCTCACAGCTGAAGCCATCAAGCGTCTTTAAAGTATGTTACTCAGTTCCCACAATCAAAAGAAATGTAATTGAATCTTTTGAGGTGATGATCAGCTGAGTAGATAAAGGTAGTGCAATTTATGTAGTTTATATGGACTTCAGCAAAGCCTTGATAAAGCCTTACCTGGGTAATAGAAAAAAACAGGTAAAGACACATAGATCCAAACAGATGCAGTTTAACCCTGAACATGAGATGATGCATTTTGGAAAGAGTAAAAGATAAGGGACTACTCAATGAATAGCAGGACACTAGGAAGCTCAGAGGAACAGAGGGATCTTGGGGCATCGTCCACAGATCCTGAAGGTGACAGGTTAATAGCGCCACTAAGGCGGCATATGGGACACTTGCCTTTATCAGTTGAGGCATAAATTATAATAGCAGGGAGCTGTACAAAACTTGATTTAGCCCACAGCTGAAGTACTGTGTGCAGTTATGGTTAACACACTATAGGAAGGATGTGATTGTATTAGAGGAGGTGCAGAGGAAATTCACCAGAATGTTACCTGGGTTGGAGCATTTTGGCTATGAAGAGAGATTAAATTCAGATTCTTTTCTTAAGAGCAGAGAAGGCTGAGAATTGAAGTGCAGAGATTATGAGGGGCATGGACAGGTTGGATAGAGAGCAATTGCTTCCCTTAGTTCAAAACTCAATAACAAGACGGCATAATTTTAAACGTAAAGGGCAGGAGAGGATTCTTTTTTCAACCCGAGAGTGTGGGAATCTGGAATGCACTACCCAGGAAAGTAGTAGAGGCAGGAAATTTCAATCTTTAAAAAAAGTACTTGGATGAGGACCTGAAATGTCATAACATTCAAGGCTATGGACCAAGTGCTGCAAAGTGAGATTAGTGTAGATAGATCAATGGAGATTCAAATGAGACAAAAGGGCCTCTGCTGTGCCATATGACTCTATGACTGCACTCGTACTGTCAAGCTGTCCCTGGAATGTGGTGAATGCCCATTTGAACAGATTGCCACTTGGACAGAATTTTATATTGCTTCAGGGATCTGAAGCCTCCTTTCAGAACACCTACCCCACATCTTCAGCTGACCCTGGAAATTTGCTTCTCAGAAGGAAGTGCCATTCCATTCTCCACAGGGTTTCTTGTATGAGCTGCAGCTGAACATCCTTCACTTCTTTGACCTCGTCAACCAAATAGACACAGGACAGAATTTCATCCTGCCATCTGGAGGTAGGTGCACCCCCATGACAGACTTGCCATGTGGGCATCCTCCCCTTTACCATTGGTGGAGGGTGTTACATGAATCAGTGCCATGTAACAAAAGATGGTCATGTACTGTCAGGCTCTTGATTTTTTTTGTGGCCTTAAGGAGTCCACGTTCCATGTCTGAACAAGGTTGCACGAGGTTGCAGCCCCATTCCACCAGGGAGGCTGCTCCTCAAGTTTTGTCTTCATTTCAGCCCTACGCTCATGATTTGCCTCACTCGCTTCTGTGCCTATGTTTGCACCAGGTTGTTCCAAATGTGGGAGCACACAGCATCTACTGGTACACTTCAGGCATTCCCTCAATTGCTCGTTGTTGCAGCCTTCAGACTCAATTACTGGGGGTCACGATTTCAAGGTGAGAGGGGAAAAGTTTAAGGGAGATACGCGTGGAAAGTTCTTTACGCAGAGGGTGGTGGGTGCCTGGAATGCATTGTCAGCGGAAGTGGTAGAGGCGGGCACGATAGCGTCATTTAAGATGTATCTAGACAGATACATGAATGGGCAGGGAGCAGAGGGATACACAGATCCTTGGGAAATAGGCAACAGGTTTAGATAGAGGATCTGGATCGGCGCAGGCTTGGAAGGCCAAAGGGCCTGTTCCTGTGCTGTAATTTTCTTTCTTCTTTGTTCAGAGTACATCAACAGTATTTTGAATTTGACAAATCTATTAATTTTTTAAATTTTGTTACACCGCTCCTTTAAAAGGATGTTAATTTAGTTAATTAGCTTAACTAGTTCTTTGTTTAGCAAAAGAGTAAGCAGCTAACCTGACTGCTTCCATACTCTCTTGTTTTATATTGCCCCTCTGTGATATTGCTGTTAAAATGAGCCAATTCATGCTTGTCATTTATTTACCCATTCCAAAAACCTATCCAAGTTCTTTTGAAGTTCAACAATATTCTTCTTACAGTACACAAAGTTTTGTGCCATTTTCTCGAGAGCTAGAAGGTTCACATCCATTTGAAAGGAATTCATTACTTCCAAAATTTCAAGCTTTTGTGGCTCCCAGTTAGTTGAGTATTCCTTTGTCAACAGTTCTGTGACTTCTTTCCTCTAGGAAGTCTCCTTCTCCCTCTCCCTCTCTGCCCTTCAGTGTAGTTCTTCTCCCAGCACTCCTCCTCCTCTCCTGCAGCATCCTTCTTCCCACCCTCCCACTACTTACAGCAGACTCTTCATCATACCCTGCCTCCTCTTCCCCAGTAAATGCACCCACCCACTTCCCACCACCCCCAAAACACATGATTTAGCAAATATTCTGACACCTGGTAATTCCTAAACTGTCACACTTACTTTCCTAACTACTTGTCATTCTGCCAATCATACACCATTTTTGTCCTGTGTTTGTTGCTGATAGGTATACTCGTGCTTTAGTTTCTTACTTTGTAGATTAAAGACGACCAATCACCAATCACTACTTGGAGGCTGGAAAGCAAAATAAAAAGCAGCATCTCCTCCCGGCCTCTAGAGCGAATTCCCACCTAAGTAGTACTCAGCTCACAAAGCAATATCTTCGGATCACTGTGTTTCCCTCCCAAGGCAGGATATTTTTCTTTGTTCTTTCACATGGGTGTGGGCATCACTACAAAGACCAGCATTGTCTAGGTAGCAGTTAAGAGTCAAACACATGCATGCAACTCCAGACAGACAGCCAAGACAGACCAGTTAAGGATGGCAGATTTTCTTCCCTAAATGACATTAGTGAACCAGATGAATATTTACAACAATGGTTACACACCATCATTTGACAAGCTTCTAATTTCAAATTTTACTGAATTCAAGTTTCACCACCTGCCATGGTGGGATTTTAACCTAATGTCTCCAGAATATTTGCCAGTGCCTCTGGATTACCAGTCCAAAGACATCATCACGATGCCACTGCCTCCGCTGAGGGGATATCCAACTGCTCATTCTTTCTCGATACGTATAGACTAATTAGTTGTCATCCTTGTAAATATTCACTGCGCCCTTTCCAGTGTCTCTATATCCTTATTATACTATTTCAAGTTGAACTACATGCAATACTGTCGTCCAAATAAGGTTCAGTATGGTTTAGGCAAAGATCTGTAGCTCGGGTTATGGGTGAGGTTGTTGGCTTGCTCGCCGAGCTGGCTTGTTCTCGTTCAGACGTTTCGTAACCGTCCTAGGTAACATCATCAGTGAGGCCTCCAATGAAGTGATGTTATTCTACTCCGCTTGGAATTTATACTGTCCAGTCCGTTATGGTGAGTAGTGTCATTTCCGGTTTTGATCTGTATGGGTTTGTATATGGGGTCCAATTCTATGGGTGGAGAACCACGCCTCTAGGAATTCCTGTGCAGTCAATATTTGGCTTGGGCTACTATGGTTACCTTGTCCCAGTTAAACTGATGGCCTTCATGTCTGAGTGTGCTGATATTAAGGAGAGTTCGTCATTGCTGCCCCGAACACCTAACTCTGCTTTCTCTCCACAGATGCTGCCGGACCTGCCAAGTTTTCCTCGACTCATTAGGTCCAGAACTGCCCCTCCCTTGTTGGGCTATGTACAGGCTAAAAAGGTTCTCTTGGATGCTTAAGAATTTTTCCTCCTCTCTACCTCCCACAATAGAACAATTCCAGTTAACATTTGGGTACTTAAAACTCCAAACTATTACTGCCTTGCTGTTCTGCCACTTCTTTGAAGTTTGGTTACATATTTGATCACCTATGTCTATCAGACTGTTTGGAACCCATAATACAGTGAGTTTGCCCCTTTTGTGTTTTTTACTTGTACCCATATGATCTCATTTGATGATACTTTCAAGATATTATCCTCACTGATATTATTGATTCTTTGATTTATATTGCAATACCTCCTCTTCTATTTCCCTCTCTTTCCTGTCTGAATACCCTATAACCAGGAATATTCAGCTACCAATCCTGCCAAGGTTCAGTCATAGCTATGGTCTCTGTGCCTTCAGCTCAAGAACCTTATTCCTCAGGTTCCTTGCAGTAAAATAAACTCCATTTAGCCTCGCTAAACTGACTTCTAACCTATCTAGTCTGTTATCCTGTGATGTCACACCTGAAATTTTGTTGAAGCAGTTCTACTATTTGTCCATCTGCTTCAGGAATCTCTCCACTTTTGCTGCTCCTCTTAGCTGCAGAGTCTCTCGCAGGGCCACCGCCTGCTTAGTGTCTGATAACAGTAGCCTAGGGTTCTGTATTACTGGTTCAGTGACATTACAAAATTGGGGTTCAGTAGCCTAAGATGGATCCATTCATAACAGGTGCCTTTTCTTCTTTGGCCAATGTGCAGACATTTGATAATTAAAGCCAAATATTCGTGATCAGATCAATGAACAACTCAACAGTATAAATAATTCTTTCTTAAAATTTTAAGCATTCAAATACATTAGCATGCAATAGAGGAAGACTTCTTGAGGAAAGGCTGCTGTTGCTGTTAAGCTGAGCAAGTTGACAGTTACACAGATTTAAGAGCAGGGACAAACGTACAACATTTTGAAAATGTCTCCATTTAAAGATAAAGAAAAGATTACATCAACCAGGCACTAAGTCATGAATATACCTTTTGAGAGATCTGCATGCTGTTCTCCTGCATGTTCATGATTGCCTCAGATATCTTGACATCAATGGGGTCCATTACTGATTCAATGTTGAATGGTCCCTCCAACCTTTCTGCAACCATTAACATCGCATCTGTAAGTGGAAATGGTCAGTTATTGCCACACCTTAATAACAACTGCTTTATTTCAAAACTTCCAACTCTTTGCCCAAAGACGAACTCAAATCACCTTTGCACATTTGTCATCAGTAGCTAGGAACAAAGTTGAAGCTGGAACCAATCTAAACACCGCAGAAGGAGCAGATTACAAACAGTCAGAGCAGCAGCAGCGAGATAAGGGATTCAAACAATTCAAAGGTAACATGTATCAAAACAAGGCAGATTGCAGTAGGAGCTGGACACAAATGGAAGTTCAATGGTCAAATGGAAGCAGAGTTCCTAGAAACTGTAAACAGACAGGGCATACAACTGGGTAAAAGCACAGGTGTCAGTTAGCTGAATTGGCTGCTTTGCAATGCAGTGATAAGAACACAAGAACATATGAAATAAGAGCAGGAGTAGGCCATCTGGCCCCTCGAGCCTGCCTCGCCATTTAATAAGATCATGGCTGATCTTTTTGAGACTCAGCTCCACTAATCCACCTGCTCACCATTACCCTCAATTCCTTTACTGTTCAAAAATCTTTCTTTGTCATAAAAACATGCAATAAAGTTCACTCGACAGAGAATTCGACAGAATCACAATCCTTTGGGTGAAGAAGTTCCTCAACTCAGTACTAAATCTGCTTCCCCTTATTTTGAGGCTATGCTCCCTAATTGTAGTTTCACCCACTAGGTGAAAATAACCTCCCTAATTCTATCTTATCTATTTCCTTCATAATTTTGACTTTCTATAAGATTTTCATCTCCCCCCTCCCCCCATTCTTCTAAATTTCTATGAGTATAGTCCCACTCTAGTCAATTTCTCCTCAACAGCATGGGTTCAACTCCTGCATTGGCTGAGATTACCATAAAGGACTCTCCTTCTCAACCTCTACTATACCTGAGACATGGTAACCCTCAGGTTAAACCACCAACAGCTGTCTCTTTCTAATGGGAGTCTATGCTGATCAAAAGCTACTATCTAACTATTTGGCCCTGTGGATTGGAAAATAGCATGTCACTCAGTCTTTTAATAAGGTCAAAAGAAGAAAACCAAGGAATTTTCAACCAGTTAGCCAAATACCTGTGATGGGGAAGTTGGCAATTCCAGGGATGGCAGGTCTGATGTATGAGGACAGATTGACTAGGTTGGGATTGTTTTTGCTAAACTTCAGACGAATGAGGGGTGGTGGGGGGGGAATCTCAGAGACTTACAAAATTCTAACAGGACTGGACAGGGTAGATGCAGGGAAGACGTTCCCGACGGTGGGTGTGTCCAGAACCAGGGCTCACAGTCTGAGGATTCGGGACATGCCATTTAGGTCGGAGATGAGGAGACATTTCTTCACCCAAACAGTGGTGAGCCTTTGGAATTCATTACCACAGAAAGTAGTTGATGCCAAAACATTGAATATATTCAAGAGGCGACTAGATATAGCATTTGGGGGTGAATGGGATCAAAGTTTATGGGGAGAAAGCAGGATTAGGCTATTGAGTTGGACGATCAGCCATGGATTCACGGCAGGCAAGTAATGCCTGACAAACCTCATGGAAATTTTTTTGGAAGAGCTCCATTGCCTTGTTTGTCCTGCCCACATGCATCATCTTATTCAGATTTAATTCCACTTGCCCCACACACACACACCCACACCAAACAGCAAGAGCCCCAACACCAGTCCCCATGGAACCCCACTGGACACAGGCTTCCAATCACAAAAACACCATCAACAAAACACCATCAACCATCACCTTCTGCTTCCTGCCACTCAGCCAATTCTAGATTCAATTTGTCAATTCTTCTTGGATCCCTCCTTAGCTTCACCATCAGTCTCCCATGTGGGACCCTATCAAATGCCTTGCTGATGTCCAAGTAGACAATGTCAAAGGTATTGTCATCTATACACCTGGTCACCTCTTCGAAAAATTCAATCAAGTCGGTCAGACATAACCTCCATTAACAAAACCATGCTGACTGTTCTTGATTAATTCCAGTCTTTTGAAGTGCAGGTAAATGATGTCCTTCAGAATTGTTTCCAACAGTTTCCCCACCACTGAGGTTAGACTGATTAGCCTGTAGTTTCCTGGTTTTTCCCTTGCTACCTTCTTGGATAATGGCACTGCATTGGCTGCCCTCCAGTCCGCTGGCACCTCTCCTATAGATAGGAAATGAAAATTATTGCCAGTGTGCCTCATAGCTTCCCCTTGCTTCATTCAACCATCTGGGATACATCTCCTCCAGCCATGAAGATTTATCTAGTTTTAAGCCTACCAGGCCACTCTGAACATCCTCTCTGCCTATGCTAAATTTCATTAATTATATCACAGTCCTTCTCCCTGATCTCTGTACCCACATCACTCATTCCCTGAGGTACATCAGCTTCTCATCAGCTTCCAAAATAGAAAACTGATTTGTGTACAGGACCTAGGGAACTCCTGCACTACCTGGTGGTCACCCATTCCCTTCTTTCCTCCAGATCCCTCACTGTGTTGTGACCATCTCTCTAAATATGCTATTCACACAATTCTCTGTGGCAAACCCACGAGCCTGTCCAGCCACTGCTTGAGCTCTGAAACCTGAAGCTCAAGTTTGTGTAGTTGGTAGCACTTCCTGCAGACATGGTCATCCTCAACGCTAGCAGTTCCCATAACTCCCCACGTGACAGGTCGCACATTCCGCCTGGCTGATATCAAATCCTTAGGCATACTGGCTGACATTATTCTTAAATAATTTGGCACATTTTAAATAACTGCTATTTAGGGTACAGACTAGACTTTGGATTGAAATTAGCCCTTAAATTAAGATATTCCTTAAAACCTACCATTTGAGACTCACTTAATCTATTAATTTTTTGGTCATAGAGACACTAAATACCCAGCTTCCACTTTAAATGCTGGAAATACTGAGCAAGTGTACTCATTAACTGGATGTTTTTCGTGCACTCATGACATGGCTGGTCCTAATGCAGGTTTCAATCTGTGCTATAATCCCTTCCTGCACTGGAGACATTATTTCTCTTTAACCTTAATTAAAGCACTTCTTTCATCCTCTGCCCCGAATTCCCAGTTTCTCACTTTGTCTGTCTCAGTGTCACTCTGGCAAAATCTCCCTCACTGACTATGCAGCTTACTTTGACCTTGTATTTTAAACAAACCCTTTTTAAAAGGCATTTTAATCAATCTGTTCAGATATGCTGTAACACACCTCTGGAGAAGGTGGGACTTGAACAAGATCCTCAGGGCTCAGAGGCAGGAACACTACCAACAGCCTCTCAAGATGATGGCGCTGGCATAGTATGTAGTGTTCAGCCTACTGAGGCGGCTCGCTCCAGGCCGGCCGTATCCTTTTCTCTTCCCGATGTCGCAGGAGGTTGTGGAAGTGGTGGAGCCCAGAGCAGGGACTCCTGGCTTCAGTAGGCCCGGAGCAGGGAATTTTGGAGGCGGCAATGGGTCGTTGATTGCAGCAGCGTCAGTGCCAGAACAGGGATTCCTGACATCGGTAGGTCCAGAGCGGGGAATCTTGGCGGTGTCAGCAAGGCAGCAGTATGAGGAGCCAGAGTCCCCTGGTGCATCAGCATCGTCGTTGCTGTACCTGGAGTGGGAACTCCTTGAGGCCAACCTTGTATAGATATTGCAGAAACCCTGGAGCCACATTTGGGACACTGGTCGATGAAGATGAACTCTAAGTAATTTCTTCTTCTTATTCTTTTTAAGACTTAAAACAGTGCTGGCTTGCAGCACAAGACACTTTTGACTGTATCTCCCTAGGTATGTAACAATAAAAATCATTCATAAATCATTCATTCACTTCCACTGCACTGCACTGCACTGCAAGAGCCCCTTGATGAGTCACTTCTTTATCTCAATTCCTCCTACAGTAATCAACACCTGCCTGTTTAACTGCTCTATTTTAACTTTGTATGTCTGATTCTGACTTTTACTCTATAATTAAACTTGCAGAGGATTTGCTAGTTGAATTCCCACTTGGATCCAAATCCCCAGATACTCATTCTGTCTCAGTCTCACTCACTCCGACCATAGGGCTTAATAATTATATTCTATTTATAAATGTTCTAGTCACCTTGAATAAAATTTTCCAGTTGAGTGAAACAGAAATTGCATATTTGACTTCTATTAGTCATTGCTGGACCACTTTTTCCTGGGAGAATTTTATTCTGCAAGGGAATGTCCACTTTATTGTACGTTTGATAGACTTATTTCAATGCTAGTCATTTCTTTTTTAAAAATTTTATAAAATACATTCATGGGCTGTAGGTATAGCTGGCAAGGCCAACATTTATTGTCCATCCCTAAATGACCTTGAGATGTATTTGAACCGCTGCAATCCATGTGACCTTGGGACGCCCATAGCGCAGTTAGCAAAGTAGTCCAGGATTTTGACCTAACAACCATGGAACAGTGATTTATTTCCAAGTTAGGATACGGTGCAACTTGATTTGATTTGATTTATTGTCACATGTACTTAAGCACAATGAAAACTTTATCTGCAAGCAGCACAGGCAAATCATAGTAATCAAGGACATACAGATCATATGGTGAGACAAAACTTGGATAGAGTAAGGCATATAGGTTACAACGCACAAGATCAACATTCACATGATCAGCATTATTTGAAGTTAGAGAGTCCCTTAGAAGGGAACCTGCCAGTGATAGTGTTCTCATGCATCTGCTGCTCCTGTCCTTCAACATAGTAAAGATTGTGGGTTTAGAGGTGCTGTCAAAGGAACTTTGAGTTACAGTAGTACACCTCGGAAATGATACACACTAAGTGACGAAGGAAGAGAATTTTGAAAGCAGTGGATGAGATTCCAAACAATGGACTGCTTTGTCCTGGGAGGTGTCGAGTGTCTTGAGCATTCTGAAGGGCAGGCAAGTGGAGAGTATATCATCATACACCTACCTTATACATGGTGGAATTGACTTGGGGAGTCAGGTGGTGAGTTACTCACTGCAGGGTTCCTAGCTTCCAACTCATTCTTGTAGCTATGGAACTCATCTAGCTGATTTGGTTCAGTTCAGTTTCTGGTCAATGGTAATCAACAGGATATTTATAGTGGGGGAATTCAGTAATGGTGATGCCATTGAACTGTAAGGGGCAATGCTTAGTTTCTCTTTTGTTCAAGAAGGTCACTGTATAGTAACAGTGTGTCTAACATGAAATAGAAAGACAGAGCATAGAAAATAGGGGCAGGAGAAGGCCATTTGGCCCTTTCAGCCTATTCCACCATTTCATACGATCATGGCTGATCATCCAAATAAGTACTCTACTCATACTTTTTCCCTGTTCTTTTTAGCCCCAAAGAGCAATATCATCATAGATCATAGAATTCCTACAGGGTAGAAACAGGCCCTTCGGCCTAACAAGTCCACGCCGACCATCAGAGCATCCCATCAGACCCATCCTACATATCCCACCTAATCTACACATCCCTGAAAACAATGGGCAATTTAGCATGGACAATCCAGCTAGCCTGCACATCTTTGGACTGTGGGAGGAAACCGAAGCACCCGGAGGAAACCCACACAGACACGGGGAGAATGCGCAATCTCCACACAGACAGTCGCCCGAGGGTGGAATCAAACCCAGGTCCCTGGTGCTGTGAGGCAGCAGTGCTAACCACTGTGCCACTGTGCCGCCCCAATATCTAACTCCTCCTTGAAAACACCTCTGTTTTGGCCTCAACCACTTTCTGTGGGAGAGAATTTCACAGACTCACCACTCTCAGGGTAAAGAAATTTCTCATCTCAGTCCTGAATGACCTGCCCTGAATCATTAGATTGTGGCCCTTGTTCTGGTCTCCCCGATCATCAGGTAAATTTTTTGTGCGCTTACCCAGTCTAATTCTGTTAGAATTTTGTAGATTTCTATAAGATCCACCCCCACCTCATTCTTCTCAACTCTAGTGAACACAGAACTAACCAATCACATCTCTCTTCTTGCATCAGTCCTGCTAACCGAGGAATCAGTCTGGTAAACCATTGTTGCACACCCTCCAAAGCCAGAACATCCTTCCTCAGATATGGAGATCAAAACTGCACAGTACTCTAGGCGTGGTCTCATCAATGTACAATTGCAGCAAGTCATCCCTGCTGCTGTACTTGAATCCTCTCACTATGATGACGAATGTACCATTTGCAGCCTTCACCACCTGCTGCACCCGCAATGCTTACTTTCAGCGACTGGTGCGCAAGGACATCCAGATCTCTTTGCACCTCCCCCTTTCCCAATCTATCACATTCAGATTATAATCCACCTTCTTGTTTTTGCTACCGAAATGGTACCAAAACCTCTCATTTATCCACATTACATTGGCATCTGTCATGCATTTGTCCACACTGAACTTGTCCAAATCACAAAGCATCCCTGCATCCTCCTCGCAGTTCACTCTCTCACCCAGTTTTGTGTCGTCAGCAAACTTGGAGATATTTCATGAATAGCTACTAACACATGGCACTGGCAGAAAAATACTAGAAAAGTACAGGGGAAGATTAATCAGAAAAAGAAAGCTCATGATAGTCGCTAAAAAAAAAAAACAACACTGCAATTAGCCTAGAGGAGTATACAAAGTAGAAGGATCAAGTTAAAAAGAAAGGACTCAAGGGGCATGAAAAGCATTAGCAAGCAAGACAAAGGGAATCCAAAGAGCAAAAGTATAGTTAAGGTAAAAATGGGACCGATCAGAGATGAGGAAGAGAACTTGTGTGAAATCGCAGAAGATATGGAAGAATTTTAAGCAGATTTTTTGTCTCTGTATTCACAAAGGAAAGGGATGATATAGATACAGTAATCCAAGAGGAGCTGGATGAAATATTGGACAAAATAATCATAACAAGACCGGAAGTGTTAGACGAGTTGGAATCCTTGAAAGTGGATAAATCGCCAGGGCCAGGTGGATTGTTCCCTGGGACGTTGAAGGAGGTCAGGGAGGAAATAGCAGATGCTCTGGAGGATTATTTTCTAATCTTCACTAGACACGGGTGAGGTGCCAGAAAACTGGAGGAATGCAAATGTGGTTCCACTGTTTAGAAAGGGTACAAAGGAAATGCTAAACAATTATAGGCCAATTAGTCTTTCTTCAGTAGTGGGCAAATTGTTCGAATCAATCCTGAGATTGGATAAACTATCATTTAGAAAGACAGAGTATCAGGGATAATCAGCATGGCTTTAAGCGAAGTTCATACCTTACAAATTTGACCAATTCTTTGAGGAAGTGAGAAGGAGGATCGACAAGTAGCAGAAGATTAGAGGGGATGAGGTCAAAACTTTTTTTCTTATGCGCAGAATGGTGGGTGCCCAGAATTCACTGCCCGAGTTGGTGGTGAAGGCTGAGACCCTAAACTCTTTCAAAAAGTAGCTGGATCTGCACCTTGAGTGCCGTAAACTGCAGCGTTATGTGGCGTGTGCAGGAACATAGGATGAGAAAGGGCATCAGGGTGTCTTTGTATCAGCGTGGACAAGATGGGCCAAATGGTCCACTTTAGTGCTATATCATTTCTGTGGTTCTATGGTTTTAAAGGAATCAAAGGGTATGGGAGAGAAATCCAGAACAGGAGAATGAGTTGGATGATCAGCCATGATCGTACTGAATTGCAGAGAAGGCTGGAAGGGCCAAATGGCCTTTTCCTTCTCTTATTTTCTGTTTCTTTTTCTTCACATGACTGCTGAAAATTTGTTTTACTTGATATCTAAGAAGTCCACCCATGATTATACTTTGCATAATACTACAGTTAGTTAAAGTTCTTACGTCTACTGGCTGGAAAGAAGATGAGTTCCAAACATCTCTTCTTTTCAAGAGGCCCAGCAGTTGTGTTTGCCAAACAGGCAGTGATCAGGCTAGTGGCCGGCTTTTCCCAAGGATCAGCACCCCCCAGGAAACAATCACACTTATTGAGGCTCAAGGCTGGCAACTGTTTTGACCAAGAGTGCCATCAGGAGGCTAATGACGGCTAGCCAAACAATGATGCCCCGAGCCCGAGCCCTGACCATGTGTGTGTGTTCATGGATTGAGGGTTGTAGTGGAGTGGGCATTGTGGTGCTAAGTAGCAAGGGCAGCTGGTGGCTCTCATTGAGCCCCTCTTTCCCCATTCTAGGTCCCTCAATCGGATCTTGGAGTGTCTTTGAATGTGGGACTCCTATATCAGAATCCCCCGCCTCTCCCATGGGAGCTGGAATGCAAACACACCAAGGGTTTATTTCTATTTTCGTCAATGTTACCTCAGTTAGTATTGCTTAAGCTTTCAGCCTCTTCAATCGCCATTCTGCATATTTTACTCAAATTGTTACTGCTTTCTACAAGCCTCAACGTTACTGTTCCTCTTTCTGAATTGCCTGCAACGTGCCACCTCTAAGGAGTTTACACAAATTTACATCCCCAGCAATAGAAACTGATGAGTTCTCAGATATAAAGCTTGACAAGGAGGAGAAGCATACAGATTAAAAATAAACTAGCTCAAATCTCCAAAATGGAGGAGAATGAACTGCATTGTGTAAAAGGTTATCAGGAGCCCCACCATTAATGTGAAGAGACACAAGCCTTTTCCTGCTGTTATCACTGACAACAATAAGTGAAATAAGTGTTGCAATGCACAAGAATGTTTACGGTTTTCTCACCTACCCTTGGCATTTTACTCTTGCTCCGAATCATACTCTCTTCCATTTTCCTCCATTCCTACCATTCCACCATCATAAAATTCTTTATCATGAAACTTAAAAAAAAACTTACCAATAAAATTGTTCCACTCTGTGTCCAGATCTGCCTGATTGGCCAAGCAACCCTTCATGACATTCAGGCAGTAATTTTTACAAGGTTTAAGAGGAAGTAACCCTAGACATTGTGGACAGTACGTCATCTTCAGCAGTGCGTTGGTACACTCTGTTGTTGGATTGACCTATTTTTTTTTAAAAAAAAGATGTAGATGATATGACATGCAGTAAAAGGTTTCGATACCCATCATTCTATCCTTAACTTCCAGCTCATTTCAAGGTTTTGAGAGTTGATAGCTTTGGATCTCAGTTTTGCTCCAAAAAATTCATGACAAATGACTGAGAATTATCTTCAACTACAGGCTGTCAATAGTACAGTACGAAGTGACCGTTGCCCTTGAAATGTAAAGCCAGATGCTTGATAAATACAGACAGAAGTGGCTATGGCAATGAATCGTAACCACCAATATTCGGTGATAATGATCACAACTCCCTGACCTTCACTACAGTCATGGAGAGGGATAGGAGCAGACGGTATGGGAAAGTATTTAATTGGGGGAGGGGGAATTACAATGCTATTAGGCAAGAACTGCGGAGCATAAATTGGGAACAGATGATCTCAGGAAAATGCACGACAGAAGTGTGGAGGTTGTTTAGGGAGCAGTTGCTACAGGTACTGGATAGGTTTCTCCCACCGAGGCAAGGAAGGGATGGTAAAATTAAGGAACCTTGGATGACAAGACACGTTGAACACCTAGTCAAGAGGAAGAAGGAAGCTTACTTAAGGTTGAGGAAGCAAGGATCAGACAGGGCTCTAGAAGTCTACAAGGTAGCCAGGAAGGAGCTAAAGAATGGACTTAGGAGATCAAGAAGGGGGTATGAGAAAACCTTGGTGGGTAGGATCAAGGAAAACCCCAAAGCTTTCTATACTTACGTGAGGAAGAAGAGGATGGCCAGAGTGAGGGTAGGGCCAATCAGGGATAGTGGAGGGAAATTGTGTATGGAGTCAGAGGAGGAAGGGGAGGTCCTTAATGAATACATTGCTTCAATATTCACCTGTGAGAGGGACCTTGACGTTTGTGAGGACAGCATGAAACAGGCAGACATGCTCGAACAGGTAGTTGTTAGGAAGGAGGATGTGCTAGAAATTTTGAAAAACATGAGAATAGATAGGTCCCCTGGGCCAGACGGGATATACCCAAGGTTATTACAGGTGAGGGAAGAGATTGTTGCTCCTTTGGCGATGATCTTTGCATCCTCACTGTCCACTGGAATAGTACCAGATGATTGGAGGGTGGCAAATGTCATTCCTTTGTTCAAGAAAGGGAACAGGGATAATCCTGGGAATTACAGACCAGTCAGTCTTAGTTCTGTGGTGGGCAAATTATTGGAGAGGATTCTGAGAGATAGTATTTACAATTATTTGGAAAAGCACAGTTTGATTAGGAATAGTCAGCGTGGCTTTGAGGGTGGCAGGTCATGCCTCTCAAGCCTTATTGAATTCTTTGAGGATGTGACAAAACACATCGATGAAGGTAGAGCAGTGGATGTGGTGTACATGGATTTCAGCAAGGCATTTGATAAGATTCCACACGGTAGGCTCATTCAGAAAGTAAGGAGTCATGGGATTCAGGGAAATTTGGCTGTCTGGATACAAAACTGGCTGTCCAATAGAAGACAGAGGGTGGGAGTAGATGGAAAGTGTTCATCCTGGAGCTCGGTGACCAACGGTGTTCCACAGGTACAAACACAAAGTTGCTGGAAAAACTCAGCAGGTCTGGCAGCATCTGTGAAGGAAAAAACAGAGTTAGTGTTTCGGGTCCAGTGACCCTTCCTCAGAACAGGTCCACAGGGATCTGCTGTGGGACCTCTGCTCTTTGTGATCTTTATAAATTACTTGGATGAGGAAGTAGAAGGGTGGGTTAGTAAGTTTGCCGATGACATGAAGTTTGGTGGAGTTGTGGACAGCGTGGAGGGCTGTTGTAGGTTGCAATGGGACATTGACAGATGCAGAGCTGGGCAAGGACGTGGCAGATGGAATTCAACCCAGAAAAGTGTGAAGTGATTCATTTTGGAAGGTCGAATCCGAATGCAGAATACAGAATACAGAGCTAATGACAGGATTCTCGGCATTGTGGAGGAACAGAGGGATCTTGGGGTCCGCATTCATACATCCCTCAAAGTTTCTACCCATGTTGATAGGGTTGTAAAGAAGGCGTACGGTGTGTTGGCTTTCATTGGCAGGGGAATTGAGTTTAAAGAGCCGCGAGGTTATGCTGCAGCTCTATAAAACTCTGGTTAGACCACACTTGCAATATTGTGTTCAGTTCTGGTCACCTCATTATAGGAAAGACGTGGAAGCTTTAGAGAGGGTGCAGTGGAGACTTACCAGGATGCTGCCTGGACTGGAGGGCAGGTCTTAAGAGGAAAGGTTGAGGAAGCTAGGGCTTTTCTCATTGGAGCAAGGAAGGATGAGAGGTGACTTGATAAAGGTATACAAGATGATGAGAGGCATAGATAGAGTGGATAGTCAGAGACTTTTTCCCAGGGCAGAAATTACTATTACGAGGGGGCATAATTTTCAGGTGATTGGAAGAAGGTATAGGGAAATGTCAGAGGTAGGTTCTTCACACAGAGTGGTGGGCGTGTGGAATGCGCTGCCAGCAATGGTAGTTCAGTCAGATACTTTACTGCCTTTTAAGTAACTCTTGGATAGGCACATGGAGGACAGTAAAATGTAGGGTATGCAGGGTACATTGAACTTAGTAGGATAATAGGTCAGCACAACATCGTGGGCCGAAGGGCCTGTACTGTCCTGTCCTGAACTGTTCTATGTTCTAGTATTGGTGATGGTCTGAAATCGCATGGCACCAGGTTATAGTCAACAGGTTTACTTCAAATCACAAGCTGTCAACACTCCACCTCACATCATTTGCATGATCTTTTGATCTCTGCCCATTGATCTCTTTGCATATAAATTCTGGGCCTGTATGCTTTTCTTCACTTCACCTGATGAAGGGGCAGTGCTTTGAAAGCTTGAGATTTCAAATAAACCTGTTGGACTAGAATCATAGAATCATAGAAACCCTACAGTGTGGAAACAGGCCCTTCAGCCCAACAAGTCCACACCGAACCTCCAAGCATCCCACCCAGACCCATCCCCCTATAACCCACCTAATCTACACATCCCTGAACACCACGGTCAATCTCCCATGGCCTATCCACCTAAACTGCACATCTTTGGACTGTGGGAAGAAACCGGGGCACCCGGAGGAAACCCACGCAGACATGGGGAGAATGTGCAAATTCCACACAGACAGGCACCCAAGGGTGGAGTTGAACCCGGGTCCCTGGCACTGTGAGGCAGCAGTGCTAACCACTGTGCCACCGTGCCGCCCCGGTATTGTGTGATTTCTGCCATTGCCCACCCCAGTCCAACACTGGTACCTCCACATCATTACAATATGGGTGATGGCATAGCAAAGTAAAAATACATTTGCAATTTAATTTTCTTTCTCTTTTAGATTTGAGAGAAATTATGTTTTACAAAACTACTTGAGCATTTTGAGGATGTATCTAGCAGAACAGATAGTGGGGAACCAGTGGATGTAGTATATTTAAATTTTGGGACAGTTTTTGCAATTCTTTGCCCAACATGTGTTATTATAAAAGGTAGAATTTTTACATTCTCTAGAAGAATAATCTCCCAAGAGCTTCATACATGTTTTTAGCTTCTAATGCTCATATCACCTGTCAAAATTATTTTCTTAACTGTTTTGAATTCAATATAAAAGTTTGTCCTGATTTTTTCTTTACGTTCTGGAACCATTGCCTATCTGCCTCAGGCACTAACTCATATCCAGCCAATGTAGTTTTCTTTATAGCATCACAATCCTATGGAATCTCCTTCGACAATGATGCATACATTTCCCGTACTTTACATAATTTATACTGCACGAGCAATGTCCAGCGCTCTTTTGCCCAGCCATTTTCTCAAGTGACATGAAGAATGCATCTGCGTCCTTAGAACATAGAACATAGAACATTACAGCGCAGTACAGGCCCTTCGGCCCTCGATGTTGCGCCGACCTGTGAAACCAATCTGAAGCCCATCTAACCTAAACTATTCCATTATCATCCATATGTTTATCCAATGACCATTTAAATGCCCTTAAAGTGGACGAGTCTACTATTTTTGCAGGCAGGGCATTCCACGCCCTTACTACTCTCTGAGTAAAGAACCTACCTCTGACATCTGTCCTATATCTATCACCCCTCAATTTAAAGCTATGTCCCCTCGTGCTAGCCATCACCATCCGAGGAAAAAGGCTCCCACTGTCTACCCTATCTAATCCTCTGATCATCCTTTTCCTCAAATTTTGTGGGACCTGTACAAACTTAAAACATTTCTGTACTGGACTTCAAACATGACTCAGATTCTCCACACGAGGGCCTGCATCAGCATCAGCATCTCATCCCCTGCTTCAACTGCATCATTTTAAGTTGCTATTCATGGCCCCTCACTTTTTCTTCTCATTCAAGTTTTAAATCTATTTCTCTCATTTCCATCTCCAGCTTTCAATCTTTACAATGGTAAAGGAGAACGTAGGTACGGAATACAGGAAAACGTTCTGTAAGGAACTTGCACGGTTTAACATAGGAAATGGGAAAGTATTGGAGGCTCCGTCGGGCTTAAAAACAGACAAATCCCCTGGCCTGGATGAATTGCATCCCAGGCTGCTGTGGAAGGTGAGGAAGGAAATTGCAGGGGCTCTGATACAAATTTTTAATTCCTCTCCAGCCACAGGGGAAAATGCCAGCATACTGAAGAATGGTTAATGTGGTTCCACGTTTCAAGAAGGGTTGTAGAGATGAACCTGGAAATTACAGACCAGTGAGTCTCACGTCAGTGGTAGGAAAACTATTTGAGAAACTTCTCAAGGAGACAATTAAAATCCTTTGGAAAAGCATGGGACAATTAAGGATAGTCAGGATGACTTTGTCAGAGGGAGGTCATGCCTAACAAATTGTTGGAATTTTTTGAAAAAGTGATCAAGTATGTGAATGAGGGAAGTTCAGTTGATGTAGTTTATATGGATTTTAGCAAAGCTTTTGCCAATATCCCACATGGGAGACTGACCAACAAAGTTAAAGCACATAGAATGGAGGGAAACTTGTCCAGATG